AAACAAGGTTTTATCCCTTAAAACAGTTTCTTTTGAAGAAAAATCTGAGTCTCTTTCTTTGGAAACAAAATTTTATCTCACTAAGATACAATTTTCTGAAAAGCAAAGTTTTGTCTCTTATGACAATGTCTTCTTAAAAAAAAAAAAATCATCATTGAATCTCTTTCTTTGGAAACAAAATTTTTGTTTCTCTCGAGACAGTTTCTTTGAGAAAAATCTTTGAGTTTGTTTCTTTGGAAAACAAAATTTACCATCATTGAATTTGTTTCCCATGAAACAAAACAAACATCTTTGAAATCGTTTCCCTTGAAATGAATTTTGTCTCATTTGAGACAGTTTCCCATGAAACACAGATATTTGAGAACGTTCCCTTAAAAACAAATTTTGTCTCGCTTGAGACAATTTCCCTTTAAACGTCATCTTTTGAGTTGTTTCATTTGAAATGAATTTTGTCTCTTTCGAGACAGTTGCTTTTGAAACACATTATCTTTGAGCTTGTTTTCTTGAAACAAATCTTTGAGTCTGTTTCTTTTGAAACAAATCTTTAATTTGGTTTCTCTTGAAACCATAACTCCTAAATATGGCCATCCGTCTTCATCATGTAGGAACCGTGTCATCCCCAGACCAGATCTCCTCATCACGTAGGAGCCGTGTTATCACCTTTAGATGGCCAGAACTCTTCATCACGTATGAGCCGTGTCATCCCCTGGCCAGATTTCCTCATCACGTAGGAACCGGGTCACCCTTAGATAACCAGCCGTCCTCATCACGTAGGAACCGTGTTATCACCTTTAGATGGCCAGACCTCTTCATCACGTATGAGCCGTGTCATCCCCTGACCAGATTTCCTCATCACGTAGGAACCGGGTCACCCCTAGATAACCAGCCGTCCTCATCACGTAGGAACCGTGTTATCACCCTTCCTAAAGATGGCCAGAACTCTTCATCACGTATGAGCCATGTCATCCACCAACCAGTCGTCCTCATCACGTAGGAACCGAGTTATCATCCACCCTTAGACGACCAGACCTCTTCATCACGTATGAGCAGTGTCGTCCCCAACAACCAACATTATCCAATTTATAGGAAAAAGGGAGAGAACCTGACAAAAACGTGATGTCTTGTCGTCTTTGCCCTATTCTTGTTAACACCAGAATGTGCAAAGAGGGGCAGCTGTAGACACCCGTTTTTGTCCGGGTCTTTTTTATTATTATTTATATATATTTATTATTATTATTATGTTTATTAATTACATATTACAACATTTTGTGCAGGCCATCCACTTAAGCCCAACTACAATCAAAACCCAGACCCGGTCCAACAACCCAGTAGATGACCCGAACCGGCCCACTTGACAACCCAGCTAGGGTTTCATCTCAATGTTCCAGCCGCCTCATTTCTGGCCATTGGATCTGGACCCATCCAACGGTCCAGATCACGCAGAGCTTAGGGTTTGAAACCCTAAAATATCATCAGCTCAGCCGTTTGGCCTTCCAGCTCCAGCCGCCGCTTGACTCTTCAACTTCCCAGCCGAGCCTCACCCCCGACAGCCTCTGACGCCGGCCACCTACCGAACAGTGATAGATGTCCATCAAACAGAGATTAGAATCATATCATTCAGTCAGACAATCCAAGAAAAATAATGAAATCTCCTAGAAGCCTAGGAAATCATTTCCTATTAGATCTATCAGACCCCAAACGCATGCAAAGATAAAAACATAAGGCAATGGGGATTTGAGGGGGGGATTTTTTTTTAGAACGGATACAGAGAGGATTCGAAACCACAAAAAAAATAAAGAAAAATATAGAGAGAGGTGTCTCACCGTGGTTCAAAGCCGTGGAATCCCGAGGGCCGCCATATGCTCGGTTTCTTTCGAAGGTAACATATTAGATTTAGCGGTTTAGGATTATTTTTAGGCTAAAAGGGTTCGAGTTTTGAAGTGGGGAGGAAGAGAGGAAGCTTTTGAGTGTTTTTCCCTCTCTTCAGCCGAGCGCCGCCGGGTCTCCACCGTGGTTGTTGCCGTCCAGGATTATCCCTTTCGTCCCCGATGAGGGAACTTGAGAGAGTCCTTTGGTTTTGGAGACATGAAACAAATGAGAAGGCTGATGAAAAATAAGCCTTGGATTTGGGTATGAATACCCAAGTCAAACCGCAGTCGTTTTGCCTCCCTAACCCCATCTGTGTTTTTGATTTATTGGAATAACTACACTTTTAATCCCTGTGGCTTTGTAAACTTACACATGTTTCTTCAAGGTTTGGGGGGTAAATCATAGTTTAGGTCCCTCCTGGTTTGTAACATCTCGTTGTAGCCATTAATGAAATCTCATAATATTTTATTTTGGGCATTTATATTTTCCTTTTTATATTTTAGTCCTATTTATATTAGTATTTTGTATGTTTAAATATTTAGATTTTAGCTGTTAATCTTGTGTATTATTCATTTTGGTCATCATATTATGTTTCTATTTGTTTCATTTTGATATAATATTTGCTCACATTTCGTTTTAATCACTATTGTTCACTAATATGTTTAGGGTAAATAATTGTTTTGAGCCCTGATTTGTGAATGAGCTCATCCTAGTCCCTATTTGGTTATTGATGTCTTTGATGATTTTTGATTTCGTAAGGTAGTTTTGTTAACTTTCTTTTTAGTCCCTAGTTGTTGGCATATTGCTTTTATTCTTATTTTATTTTAATTTGACCACTAATTTATGATACTTTCATTTTGGTCACTAGATTTATGGTTAATCACGATTTAGATACCTATCTTTACCATGTTGTTCATTATAGTCACCAGGAGGTTCATGTTATTTGTTTATTCTGATATTGACATCTGTTTTATTGTGTTTCAATTTGGTCACTATGTATACTATTTTGCTTATTATGAATTCAACTACTGATTTTATTCTTTTTCATTTTAGCCACTGATTGATCATGTTTTTTTATTTATTTTTAATTCTGCTTGTATATTTCGATTTATGCATTTTAGTTACTTGTCTATAAAGTTTATTTATTTTATGTTATTTGTATGTCATATTTTCATGTATATATTTTAACCTATGCTATAATATTTATGTACATATCATGTTTCAAATATTAATTTATTTTATTTTATTTATTTCATACGCATGTTGTATCATATACATTTATATACTTATTAATTTAATTTAATTTTTCCCTTTGTATATTCATGTATGAAAATATTATTAATGTTTATTCCATTTTATTCAATGTGATTACATATGACTATTTTTTCAAGAACGCGAATTTGTAGAACGGGCGTGGAAAGTACTACTTGATCGAAGTGGTACAATCCAATACGACATTCGAACAAATACGAACTTAAAATAAATCCATTTTCTTTTACTAATTAATTTATTTTAATGATGCTATGTGTGTGTTTTTAATTTACTCTTTATTTCCTTTTATTCGAATGCAAATGTTAATTTTATTTATATTTGATTCGCATATTTATCAATGAGAGAATATTTTTTATTGACAAGAAATAGTCGAGTTAGTTTTTCCGATGGAGGATTACTAATTTTGATATTTCTTTTCGAGTTAAAGAATTTTCTGTAAATAATTTATTCGAAGTAAATTAATTAAATTTCAATAAATGGATCACATTTTAATTATCGATGCGATTTATAGTTTCCACCATCACGACGATATATAAGCGACACAGTACCAATTTTTGGGCGTTGTGGGGTGTTAGCCCTTCCCTACACGTAATAGACTCCCGAACCTGTTTAAATAAATCTTTGGTAAACACAGACCAGTTTTTATCTTAAAAACGATTTTTTCTTAAAGTTGTTTTTAAAATACGTTTTTAGGTATTCGACCTACCTAACCCAAAGGCCGATGGCGACTCCCTTTCGATTTAATTCAAATTAATTCCAAATCACCAAATTTTCCAAATTAAAGTCATAATCGTTTTTTAAAATAATATTTAATTATTTTTTTGAAAAATGGTTATGACGGTGTCCAAAAGCTTTCCATCGATTCGACTTCATTATTATAAACGATAAGAAGGGGGCCGTGCTTAAATAATTCATCGTTATCATACAAATTATTTAAACTAGGTTGACCTGCTAGAGTTCGAACAAACAATGAGACATGCAATGCAAATAGTTCTTGTCAATAAGTTTGACCCTTAAAATTAAATTAAATTAAATATTAAAAATGTAATTTTAGACTTAAAATAAAATAAATATTTAAATTATACCCTTTATTTATTTTAAATACCTAAATTATTTTTTTGATCAAACTAGGTATTTAAACTATCATATTTTATTATTTTAAGTTTTAATATTCTTTCAGTTAGAAAATTATTTTTTGACCAATAAAATGTTGACATATCACACAAAATTAAGTACTTTTTTTGGTCAGATATTTAGGAGTTTAAAGTAAAAAATTTATAATTTAAGAATCTATTTTAACAAAAAATAATTAAGATATTTAAAGTTGTTCCATATAATATATTAAAGACATTTTGAAGAAAAAAAAGGTACTTTAAGCAAAAGAAATATAACTTAAGTACTTTTTTAGTTTAAGCCTTAATTTTATAAAGTTTAAGTTCCTTTATTTAGTTTAAGCCTTAATTTTATAAAGAATACTCACGTAAGAGTAATTAAAGTCATCCAATTATAAAAAACATTATACACAAAAAAGATTTAAGAATAATCATAATTCTACCACATACCTGATCTGAACAATACAGATTAATAGAGTTATTTAATGGTTAAATGACACCGATGTCATTTTGTGCAAGGTTCAAATCATGTTCCTCTCTAATTAGATTAGCCCAATAATATAATTCCTTGCCAAAAAAAAAAAAAATCTAGGACCTATTCAGCCAATCCGATAGACTCAACATGTAAAACCCGAGCATCAGCATTAGATGGAGGGATACGCATCAAATGCGAATGCTCGAAAATGAAAATTCCGAGCAATTTGAGCAAGAGAAATGGAGAATATTACAATCTGTATTCACAGGATGAGTTACAAGCTTATAGCATACATGACATGGAGTGATGGATACATAATCTTAACTGATAAGAACTAGTTGTTTTAAAAATACATAAGATACATTAATCATTTCAGCTGTGATTTTTTTTTTCCAATCAAGAAAGAAAGGGGTTTTATTTCAGTTCCATTAACCTACATTGCATCTGTACACCTCCTCCAATCTGCAAACTGAAAAAAGACTTTGTCAACAAATCCAATTCTTGCTGAGCCTGCAAGTCCCAATTCACCTTCCATCAATAAACTTCCTCGAATAGTATATTTATGCAAACTGATGCACCAATATATTTCCCAACATGGTTATAGGAATGCAGCTCTCTAAGCATACGGAAAAACTTAATAACATTTAAACATGCTCGTGTTGGACACACACTAATATCCGAGTAAAACAAAAAGACTCACCCCAGATGCTCTTATTCGTGCAGTAAGCATGGCTTCATCCTTCCTCATCCTCGGTTTTAGATTTAGTATTTAAAGTCATGTCTGCCTCCTCCACTGGGTGGGGGGGTCCACCTGTAATGTTGTAAAGAAGATTAAAGTACTTAATAAAAGAAAAACGAGCTTAAGCAGGTTCCTGAAATAGTCCCCTTCCGAGGAAAGACCTTTTGTCCCCATCCATTGTCAAATGCACAGCCAACCATATGACTTAGATCCTAAAACTTTTCTAAAACATAAATATCCTTCAAACATTCTAGTAATACCAATCATCCCACAAACATTTTCGGGAAAACATAGACAAGTCAGCAAAGCATAATGGACCATCCGAAGCTTTGTTACTTGGGTTTGGGTGTAAGTATCGGAGGCAGGTAGGTGTATGGAGCATATTCCATTTTTTTCCCAAGAGGATCATATCTTAGTATCATATCCCAAGTATGTTGATGTCGTTACTTCAGAAAATAGAGAGCACGAGCAACAGAAGCATTAACATTTTACCTACTCCTGGTGAAATTCTAAGGCATCATTCCGCACTGCATATGTAGGCAAATGTGATGCCAGTATCTTAAGATTTTACAGTTAAATAAAAATAAAAATTTCCATTACATGGTATTTTTTCTCTCAAGAAAAGAAACCTGATTCTTACTTATCAATCGAAAATTTTCAATTGCCATAATAGGGCTTAAAAACAATGGGGAAATCTCTTATTCAAAGATATCCAACGCCCATAACTAAAGGAACCTATAATAAACAATTACATTCCAGTTAGAAAGACCAAATCCGAATAAGTCTACAATCTAAACGTCAAGTTCTAGGTTGAATTGGCCAACGAAGCGGAATCTACTTATATTATTAAATACTTTATAGTATAAACATAACAGCTGGTCCTTAAGGTTCAATTTGAATATTAGGATAAACATCTGCCCAAATTTAAAAAGAAAAAAATCGAGTAGAATCCACACAAAAAATCAAAGGAAGAAACATATAAAATTAATTAGCAATTGATAGCATCTTGTTCTCAAAATTCAATTTGATTGTTAGGTAAACTTTTGTCCAAATTAAAAAAGAAAAGACCAAATCGATCATAAATAGGAAGGGGAAAATGGATTAGAATTCCAAAGCCACTGACAATTGAATTTACCTTTGATGAAATACTCGGAGGAAGGCCAACCTCGGACGGTGGTGGTGGACATGGATTCCTCCGGGGTCAAAGGGTTAGCCAATTTCTCAACAATCTGAGCAAGGCCGTATGATTTGGCTGTGGAAGGCGGGACCCAGTAAGAGGATCCCGGTAAAAAAGGAAGCCAATCGGGTGCCGAACGGCGGACGATGATCCTATGGATGGCGTCTTCGAGTTTCCGAAGGAGGGGATCGGATGAAGCGTCGGAAGAAGCGTCGGTCTGATCGAAATGGTTGGGTTGGCTCGATTGGGATCGGAATGAAATGAGAAGAGAAGATGATGGAGGGGGTTTGGAGATGGGGCGGAGCTTGATTATGGTTTGGCAAAGTGAACGAGCCATTAACGGGAGAAACACAAGGAAAAGGTGGGGAAGGCTGTAACCGGATAAAGGGAAGGAAAAGAAATAGGTATTTGTAAGCAGATCACAGCCTCTATTTATAGGGCATACAGGGACTATACATGAATATTCGCGGCCCGGTTTAAAAACTCCATATCCAGACGGTTCTATTTTAATTTTATATTTATCAAATTTTTATCTACTCAAAATTTATAATATAAATATTGTTCAAATTATAATGAGATGCAGTCATAATTAAATATTTTTTGAAATGGTAGTTAAAGATTTAATATATTTTTTAATAGAAAAAAAAGATGATTTATCTTGTGAGTTTAATTGAAAGAGTATCATCATAAAAATATGAGGAAAATCAAATATAATTTTATAAATTCATCATCCTGTGCAATAATTATTAGAACATCCGTTATTTTATTATGTTCATGTCTTACATATTGTGGTCTTATCTCTCAATTACGTCGGAGAAGTACATGAACATATTCTATCATTACATTTTTTGAAGTATACTACTGATATTTGAATTATCGATTTCGATTTTCTTATAACTTAAGCTGTGTGTATTGTAGTATATCGTGAACTACATATATTTCTGTAGTTAATATCAAACATCACATCAAATTACGTGAAAGGTTAAATATTTCAAAATGATAAATGTTTAACAAAAAACAACTTGATCACATCTTTTTATATCTTTTTATATTCATTGGAAAAAAATGGTGTAAAACTAAGTTTTACAAAGATATAAGTGAATCATAACACTTCTTTCAAATAGAATCACATATATATTTATTTATATTATTATTTTAGATAAACAAATTTATTTTTAAATATAATTATGTAAAATAATTAAGATAAAAACAGTTTAAAATAACATTATTACATACAAATGATACTGAATTATAATACTACTCCCTCAGTTTCACTTAAATTATCCTTTATTGACTTTCTGGGTTATTCTTTTTAACTATGTCTCAATATTATTTAAAATTTATTATTGATAAAATATGAAAATATATATTTTAAAAATATACAATCAAATAGTTTTAATATATATATATATATTATAAAATAGAATTATTTAAATATTTAAAATAATTATTATCAAAGTTTAAAAAAATTGTAATAGACAAATTTAATGGAAGGAAGACAATAACATTTTTTTTATCTGAAGTTAAAATTGTTGTATTTCATATGGGGAATTCTAAAGAACGGAAGAGTAATATACAGCTAAAAAATGGCGCAACCGGAAAGTTTAAAAGAAACTTAAGAAAATAGTTCTAGCTTTACCGGAAAAGCTGAATTAAGTATAATAAATTAGGTTGTAAGGAAGTTAAAATAATTTAAAATGGCTTAATCGAGTAATTTATTTTGCCGGTAAGTATCGATACTAGCTTTCGAGAATATCGATATTTTCGAAATTTATACCATTTCTGATCGCAACATACTCTTGAAATAGTAACGAACTTATTATGTTGTCATGTGAATGAATAAGACCACAACAACTTAAAATCTGTAAATGTTAATTATATTAAAAACATTAACGATTTTAACTTATTATGTGACCGATAGAAGGGTAACATTTTAAATTTCAACCAATATCATTATATTAAATGATAACATTTTCGGTTTCTAGATAGGACATTTTGTGTTGAAAACTGTTTATATCGAACTTTTACCCTAATATCAATATTTTTTTAATGTACAAAGCGGAAGGTAATCGAGAAGGCTTAAAAAGTATCGAACTTTTCCACATATTTCGATACAAAGGGGAAAGTATAGAGTATTTATAGAAAACATATCCGGTTTAGGGAAGATAAAGTATATAATCAGATAAGAGAAATAGGGGTATTAGTGTTGAGAATCTATTATCCATCTGAGCAATAGACATTAACAGTGAAAAACCTAACTAAAATCCCAATTTAAAGAACAAACATGTATGTTCGTGAAACCCTAGTTTAAAAATGTTCAAATTAACCAATTATGATTTAGGGATTAAGGGAAAGATGTAATATAATGGATCGATTAATAGTATAGGTTGAATAAATGGAAAAGTAGTGGGGTTAGTAAAATAAGTAGAATGTAATATTATAAGTTGAATCGAAGAAAATATAGTTGTAGATGATTGGTTAGTATAATGATCATTTATGGCTATAATCGGTTATGAAATGAAGATACAATTTACATAATTGTTTAGCTGAAATCTATATCGTAAAGAATGAAAAGGAACAAGAAGAATAAGATGGCATCAATGGTAGAAAAACTGTGGGAGGAAAACTGAATGACATGGGAGGTTACGACATGTCGCTCTTTTTTCTAGAAGAAGATGACTCGGAGGATTGAGAGACCAATGAGATAGAATGAAGACTAAAGCAATCAATGTCCTCATATATGCACTTTTAGTAAGTAACCATGTATTTTTATAATACTTGTTTGAATGGTGGTTTATAATCTAAAAGTATTTTAGAGGTTTACATTGATGAAAATTTTGAAATGCTTATAGTGTAATTGAATGTCAACGATTGAAGGGAGTTTCTAACAAAAAGGTTGGTTATGCATGTATGTAAAATGAATTGAGAAGGTATAGAGATAGAGTATTATAGACATTACTGATAAAAAAAAAGTTGATTGCAAGTGAGGAAAGAAGTGGCGGTGAAATGGAAGTTGATGAGTGAAAGGATAAAGATCCTTGTGTAAAATTGTCAGAGAAACAAAAAGAAGTATATATAACGCATGGATGACTACACATGAAAAGAAGGTATTGGTCATACTTTCAGGATTATATAAAGTTGTAACTTATTCTATAAAGGTTGTATAGAACATAACATAACAAGTTGTTTATTTTTAAATAACTGTAGAAAGTGTCGACAAGATGTAGCTTGATAAGAATGAGTTAATTGATGAAAGATTTGAAAGGAAAGAAAAATTGAATGTTATTAAAGAATTAGGATTGGAGTCTTTGATTGAAATAAACGCACGACCAATACATAGGGAGTTATGTTGATACTTGATAGAGAATTTTGATGTAGAAAACTGTAGAATCAAGTTCAGTGGATATTCATTACCGTTGGGGGTTTTGGAGGTTGTATCAGTTTTGGGGTTGAAAAATGAAGGGTTTGTGTTGAAGAAGTATTTCAGAGGGAGGATTGGAAAAACTGAGTGTGATGTATAATATAAAGGCGAAGGTTACATTAGTTGATTTGGAGAGACATATAAAAAACAGTAAATATGATGGTGATCTACTGAAGGCAAGAGTGTTATTGTACATGGTTGGGATATTTCTTTGTCCAAGGGGTGATACAACATCGAGCAAGGAAAATTTTGAAGTTTTTGAGTGAGGAATGGATGAAGGGTGAACTAAATTGGGAGAAATTTATTGCAGACAAAATGGTTGAAGAAATAGTTAGCTTTCAAAATCCCGAAAAGCAGATACCTTAAAGGTTGCATTGTTATATTAGAGGTAAATGACTAGTAAAGATGTCTTTTTCTATAATACTTATTTAAATAAATTGAATTGTATGGATAAAATGATTTAGTTCATATTGAATATAGGTACCTACAATTTATGGTTAAATTCAGCAAGTGTGGCCACTGCAAAAAAACCAGGATGCCACACATTCTTGCATGGTGAAAGGAAGATATAATGCGAATTATGGCAAACTTGAAATCAGAACGACCGAAGAGGGAATAAAAGGTAAGAAATGTCATATTGGTTATTATGCTTTTAAAACTTCATTTATGACAAATTTGAAAAGTTTGATTAATATTGTAATTTAATTTTAAAGGTTATTCTCATGGAGGAAGAGAATACTGAAGATAAAGATTCTGGTAAGGGGGTTGTATGAATGAAATTGTGTTAGATAAACTTCATTTTAATTATGTTTGAGTTGCTACAAATTAAACAAAGTATTTAAGAGGTTCATGAAATACAAGTGAGGGTGGAGGAAGCATTTGAGACCCAAAATTATGATGGAATAGAGTTTATGGGAAAAAGTAATGCAAAATTTGTTGGAGTGGTGGAAGAAGTTGATAAAATGAGGGGTGAAATAGAGTGGATGAAGTATTGTGTTAGTGATCTTAAAAAATTGTTAATGGGTTGGAGGAACTGATAAAGGGTGTGTCATTAATGAAATTAGTGAATTGAGGGTAGAAGTGAAAGAGTTGTTTGGATCGGTTGAAAAAATATTGATGATATAGAAAAAAAGCAAAAAACGATTGTTCCAAGGAGCGAAGCTGATAGAAGAGGAAGAGGAACCAACGAAATATCATAAGATTTTGGTTGCTTCTGACTTTAGAACACCTGATGTATGCATTGATGATGAAAATGATTCTGATTGTGAAACTTGTAGTGTGCTTACTAATATAAATTCAATATTGTAGGTTGGAGGATGTACGTAAAAGGTTAGTGGGAAGCAATTGTTGTTAGAGTAGGTTGATGAAAATTTGGTTAGAAATTAAAATGATCTGTCCAAAGGTTATGTAGATACATGATTTCTCAGTGGCAACCAATTGTGGATTAATATTTATTTGGAACATAAACAGGAAGAGTATTTGTTTGCTTCATTATATGTATTGATTGAAACATTATGTACTTGTTAGGTCATTTATATGGTCTGGTGGACTGTGGTGTTCGAATCTCATAGTTGGTCACATGCATAAAAGATTGCGTACTTTCCTTGTAATATATCGGTAAGTTGAATTAATAAATGTTTATGTAATATTAATAAAAATTTATGGATGGTAAAGTAGTAATGGTTTAGAAGAGGAATTGCAACTCACGCTTTTAGCTAAGAAAATAGATTATAAGCATATTTCAAAAGTCTATGGTACTATGGTCAGAGACTATGCAAAAGTGACCGATTGTGATTCGGTAAGAGAAAACACCTTATTATTTGTTCAATTTAATGATTTATAAAGAAAATTTGTATTATGATTAATAACCTACGACATGTAATTGCATAGATCATTTTAACAATGAATGTCAATGCTAGCAATTGGTTTTTGGTGGTGTTGGATTTGAATTTAAAGAGAGAAAGGGTGTATGATACTT